GGTAAAAATATATAACACATGGGCATACAATTTTTTACACAACATTCATATGCTACGAGGGAAGTAAAAAAATATTAAATCTATTGTTTGATACTTTTCACTATGCTAAACTATTTTTGCTAAAATAAGCCAATATAACTTGTCATTTTTGTAAAGGTAGTTCTACTTATCAAAATGGCATGAAATTTGTACAGTGGACTACTAATGTCATTTGTAGGCTACTGTAATTTTCTTAGAATATATTAAGTACTAGAAATATTTATTGTTTAAATCACCTTATTATATAAGGAAATTAATAAATGAATATAAATAAATTAATTATGTTTAACCATGATGTTTTCCGTGGTGCTTGTGATGCATATGATCTATTGATGTTATTAGTTAAGCTTAGAAATAATTGGTTGTATGCAACTAGTTAATTATCGCTTTATAATTCAACTAGATGGCTGCATGTATAGTTCTGTTGTGGTGATGATTTCATGATGATAATGATATTTTCTGTAAAGATAGTTAATAACAAAGTTGTAGATAACTTACTGATATACCTTGTGTTAAATTTTCATAGTCATAGGCCTTAAGGTTTAAGAATTATGACTGTTAGAAGTCTGCTGTCAGAAATACTTGCTCTTTGGACAGATCTGAATGATTGAATTGTTTGACTTAGATAACTGCTGAATCACATTAAAATGATTAAATGAAAGTTGTAGGACATTTCATAAGCTTTCCAAAATGTCCACAAACATATTATTTTGATGTGTATAACTCTAGTTATGGTCAAAACAAGTGACTACTGTCTTGTAATCCAGAAAATACTTTACATAAGTGTTTGTTTAAGGTACTAGAGAAGAGATATGTACCTACTCAGTAAAAGAAAATATAACATGTTATCATCTTAATGCAATGTTATTGGAAACACTTATGAGGATGCATTCATCACATCATATCATATTATAAATGTCATTATATATGCATTCATGATATCTTATTTTATGCTCATGCATATTAGGATCGTCCGAAGGGATAACCCTTTTGGAGTTCAACGAAGAAGAAGCGAAGGAACAGCAGGAAACACCTCAGGCCATAGCTCCAAGAGAAGAGAAGCAAACTCTCGAGGACCTCCCTGGGTGTCCGGATCACCGGCCAACCTCTTTCCTCAAAGGCAAGCCCCAGAATATTCTAAGTCTTCTATATTTTACAAAATATCACTTGAATTCTTTATATTTGATGCATTAGATTATAAGATTTGATTGGAATCACTTGATGCATAGAACTACCTTATCCAGTTACATATACCTTTAACCCTGTGTAGGTCTAGGATGGAATATATGCTTAGCCATGCTTAGACCGGTAGAAGTCGGGTGATTTCCTGTCACCTATGAGATATAGGTGGATACCGAAGCACGGTTGGCTATATTTGCTATCGTGGAAAAGAACCATGGGGTAATATAAATGAAGGCCAGACGGAGTCTATGTGTAGGTTGACTCATGTGATTTCGTCTGTGCTGATTAAGAACCGTACCGTTGTTTGCACTTCTGACAAGGTTGAATGCATGCCTCTCACTTAGCTGGCCGGATAACTCGTTCCGACCGCGAAGCCGAGTAGCTCAACTCAGGTCGGGCCCCGTTCTATAAAAGTGCGCACTCTGTATAGTAGTAAGGATGTGCGGGGAGCTAGACGTAAGCCCAAGGGCAGGATAGTCCTGATCGTCCTAGCTGCTGGTTGTCCCTGATAGTGCGGCGTTAGGCGAATCCGTGAAATGTGGACCCAAGTTGTACCAAAGGTGACCTAAGGTGACCATTGATCTGGTCTGTATGGGTTTGTGTTAGGAATAAATTCACAGCTGGTTGAAATCGATTCGAATCGTCATCTTTCTCGGACAGTGAGAAATTTGGCTAGCCCCAACATCGTAGTAACTGTATTATGGAATGATGGTTATGATGAACCATATGTTTGGCACATGCTAGTTGCTAATCTTGAGATGAATAGCTATAATTAACTTGATGACCAAATTATAACTGTATACTTGAATTGATAAGTTTTTTGTGCAAAATATTATAAAGCTAGCTACATTTATAAAGCCTTGATAATCCTTAGAGTCGACGTCGAGAAAGTAGTTGTACATCGTGACGTAGTGCGCAACTCAGCGACACCTTTACGGACATCCATAAGTGCAGAGAGGAGAACGGCGACGATGTAGCGTGCTAGCGCTCGTCGACGCATGTGGACTGCAGCAGATGCAACACCAGCAAGAGCCTTTGCAGCAGCCTCCTGTCCTCACGCACAAGCAAGGGCGGCGGCCAGGCTCTCACGAACGTGGAGGCTATCTCTTCTTAGGGTTAATTGCTTCCTGGCCGGTGATTAGCATTTATATGAGATGCTAATGGGCCAGCCTCATGGGTCAAGTGGGCTGACTATTGGGCATACCCAACATCGGAGTCCGCTGCTTACATATCACTTTTTCTTTTCCTGACCGAGAGAGTCACCAGACCACTGAAAGTGCAATATAATTTCCGTTTCATCGACGATGTGGAGGAGGATTCTTTTCCGATCCATCGTCGTTGCCGTCAGAAGAAATAATCACCTCTAAGAGCCGCACCGAATGCTGGGGCATGCCAAGGTTCATCAAGAGGGAAGATCTCGAGAGATCCAGGCATCTGAAGGACGACTCTTTCGTTGTCCGCTGCGACATCGCCGTCATCAACAAGGTCAGCGTGGAGGAGCTGGCCAAGGCCCCGACCACGAGCTTCGTCTCCCTGCCGCCGCCGTCAGACCTTCATCGACACCTTGGCGACCTCCTCCAGACAGAGAAGGGCGCCGATGTGGTGTTCCAGGTCAGCGGCGAGACGTTCAAGGCGCATAGGTGCGTGCTCGCAGCCAGGTCTCTGGTGTTCAGCGCAGAGCTCTTTGGCCAGATGAAGGAGAGCGACGCCACCGCAGGCATCGTCGTCGGCATAGACGACATGGAGGCGCTGGTGAAATTTATTAAAAGAAAGAAGAGTCATGTAATACAAAGCTAAGAAAGAGAGGGGAAAGGGGAGGGGACAATTCAGGATACAAAGAAAGAAAAGAATAAAAAATCAACCAAGCTAGAGAGATTAAACTAGATTTTTTAACCATAAATCAATCCTAGGGATGTAGCTTCTTTTTGCGCGTATCAACAACAACGCAAATTCAGACTTGAAAGCTCTTTTAGCTTGATGAAGAGTGGGCAGTCTGTTATAAAAAATGAGCCCATTCATTACTTGCCAGATGGCCGAACACATGAGTATTAGAATTTCCATGAAGAAAGGGACTTGTAATTGTCTTCTGAAGATCTCAAGGTTCTGGAAGAGATCTAGCTGATCATAAACTTGTAAGCCGATCCAGTTCCAACAAGCTGAGGCAAAAGGGCATTTAATCAGAAGGTGGCACAAAGTTTCCTCCGTTCATGAGTTGCAGAGCACACTTGGAGGCGCACGTCTTCAAGGCGTTGCTCTTCTTCATCTACACCGATTCGTTGCCAGAGATGAGCAAGGAAGATCAAACTGCCATGTCTCAACATCTGCTTGTCGTGGCAGACAGGTATGACTTGGAGAGCCTCAAGCTGATCTGCGAGCACAAACTTTGCAGTTGCATAGAGGCGACCAATTTGGCAACTATCTTGGCGTTAGCAGAGCAGCACCGCTGCCACGGGCTCAAGAAGGCATGCTTTAGCGTTCTCAGCTCTCCGGCAAATCTGGCTGCTGTCCTTGCAAGCGATGGCTTTGAGCATCTGAATACAAGCTGCCCTTCTGCTGTAAAGGAGTTGATTGTCAAGCTTGGTACGTAGATTCACTGGTAGGTACTTAATGTTTCAGAAATCGTCCTAAGTAGTCACTGTATTCCAGGCTTCTATTATCGATCAGGTTTAGTTTTGCATTGTCTACTATTCTGGTTCCTATGTAGTAGTATCTCCAAATACAGTTTCGTTTTTGTTTTCTCTTTGCAGTTATGTTGTGTCATATTGCATCTCTATATAGGTCTCCCAACGGATGTTGAATGACTTCGTTATTACTGCACTCAACGCAAGATATCTGTTAGTTTCACAATCACATGGAAAACCCAAAAATACCGATTCAAAAAATATATATGCTTCAATGTTTTGATGTTAGTTCATTGCACATCTACGTATTAAGCTACTAGTACTTTGTCATGTTTGCTTTATTTGAACACATTTCCGTGGCTCCATGATTTCAGGTCTCTTGGTTTCAACTAGTTTATCAGGTTTGTCCTCCACACAGGTAGTGGTGCCACAAAAATATATCAGTCCCACACGGAGTATTGGCTATTGAGCACACAATCCGTGAGAGCAGCAGCGTGAGAAATTTATAGCATCAAAGTCAGCTAGAATCACAGGGACCCACGTCAAAGAAAATAGCTCTCCACTGTCGTTCATTCGCGCGGGGAAAAATCCCCTGTTTCTCTCTTCCTCTGCCGATCCATGCTGCTCTACCAAATCCCAACTCGATCTCTCTCATTCAAATAAAATCGATCCTGCTCTTCCCAGATCTTGCCTCACCAGTTATGTTTAGTTGGGATCTGGTGCCGTGGAAGGAAGGGAAGGCCAGCAGCGTTGGCAGCACGCTGCGCCAAGAGAATGCGATGGAACTCTTCTGATAGCAGCAGAGTAGGTAGGACGGGGGGAAATTGGAGGAACTGGAGAAGAGAACTAGAGGAGAATTGGGGAAGAAGAAAGGAGAGGTGTGGGAGGATAGCTTTAGAAAGTAGCAATTCTGTTACAGCATAAATGCAGAAAACCTATCTAGAAAACCAAACATGAAGCTTTACCAGCTCATACAATTCCATTGAGAAAACCAAACAAAAACATGTATCAACATGACAACATATCCTGGCAATTAAACATCCGACATTGGATGAACTCATTCATGACTATACCATCCATGTGAATCATGCATCCCATCCATGGTCAATTTGATTCAAGGAACGACACACATCCTTAGCTGATGTTAAGGCAGCAGGCTCACTGCTCTTCTGGGGACATGTTTTCTTGGTCCTGCTGCGAACTTTCTCTGATGTCTTGGCGACGCCTACTTGGTGCCGACGGTGGCTTTTCACATAACCCTTGATATGATAGCCATGAGAGTATATACGACAACTGAGGGTTGTCCAGGTCATCCTCGAGGCTTGCCAGGCTCTCCTCGTCAACTCGGAATTCATAACTGGAACCTTTGGGGCGCACACGTATACTAGTAGCATGCAACCTGAGATCCTTTCGTAGCTTCTGCACCTTTTCCGCCAAATCCTTCCCTACATTGGTTTGTCCGTGTCTGCCAATTATGGCACTGACAATTTCCATCTCTTTAAGGCGGGCAATTTCGTCCACAACATCAGTAATTTCGTCCACATTAACGTCAACTTTGTCCTTAACGTCATCAGTAGATGATGGATCAGTTGGGCCCTTGATAATCTTAACTTGAGCTTGCATCAGTTGAGCAACTTGGTGTGGAGGCTGCCACGTGACATTGACTTGGAGCAAGCTGGACAAATGTCTAGAATCGCTGTACCCTTGGCCCTTCTCCAGGTAGGCGACGAATCTCTTCACCGCACCGGCATAGAGGTCACCAGCAAAGATGGAACCAAACTTTTTGTCATCGCTGATGCTGGACTCGAATTGCCCAGACTCAATAGCGGATAGCTTCACTCCGGCGGTGTTGCTGCAGATGATATTGACCTTCGTATTAACAGCGATGGTACAAGTGACCTTTCTAATGCAAGCCATGAATGTCTCGGTGATTTTATCCTGGTGGTCGTTGATGATGGCGTAGATGCCGCTGGAGTCCGTAGCTATGGCATGCATGGTCCTGCTGTTTCGCTCACCATGGAGACCGAAGGTGTGGACAGTGTAGTTGCACCTCTGAGGTTTCTGGCGGAGGATGGAGATGTCATCCCCGTCGGAGATGAGAATGATCAAACCCAACCTCTCATTGTCTTCTCCGCGACCATCCAATAACTGCGACCATGCATGGAGTAAAAGAAAATTGAAATAATGATTCCATATATAATATCTGTGGACGAATTCATGGTGGAGAGTACATCTTGTTGCTCTGCTACTACCCTCTAGTATTTTGAGGGGCTAGACATAAAAAATGTCGCTTTTATTTGATCTATCTATTGTGTCGGGAATAGTTAATTTGATACATGCCATTGCTAGATTCCGTTTACTAACTAGATAGAGGGGCAAGCGAAGTAGTTCACAACCTAACTAGATAATACTCTCACGATCTATTCAAAGATAATAATAGATCTATTTTGTTTTGAAAATAAAACATTAGAACGAGGACAGAGTATAACAGAGTATGGTAGAGGTGAACAGAAAAAACTTGCGTCGTGCATGCATACCTTAACGGCGTCCGTCAAATAGTTGGATAAATTGGTCTTGGAGACTCGGTGGTGGTGCGCCCTTCTGAAGTCAAAATCCACCTTGACCTCCGAGGGCTATATATAACAGAGGATGGCATGCACACTCAGACATGCATGTTCAAGTAATGTAAATAGAGGTTTTTTTTTTTGAAAGGGTAATGTAAATAGAGGTTGTCAAGGTAATAGACATATGTTCAAGGTATCGCTGTTAGTCATCTCTATCACTACATCAATGGCAAGCATCATGCATATATTTATACCTTCTGCAGCTTGGCGCAATCGCCAGATTGATCCACATGTATGATTGCTAGGCGGTCCTTGTAGCTAAGCTTCTTTAGAATGAAGTTCATAGCCTGGTGTAGCAGTTCTAGCCTTTTTTTCTTCATCTCCCTGGTAGCGCTAGCTTTGCAGCTGACGTCGAGCACAACAACAAGGTCGAGGGAGGCGCGTTTCGCCTTTGCCAAACCCTCGACAGGCACAGTGACCTCAACTAGCACTGGCAGCAGCCCTCGTCGGGGCTTTCGGATTGGCTCTGGGATAGCGTTGACCTGGGCCAGGACTCTCATGCGCAGGAGGGGGTCATCAGTCGTGGCCTGCCGCTGCCGCCTGTCCATGGCTGTGGCTATTGGAGGCAGCGGCCACCGCTGTTGTGACTTCCATGAGAGCATGTACTCAAGCCACAAGTAGTTGTTGTAAAGCCTCGTCACCATCTGTCGCATCTCCCCATCGAGACCAGATAAAAGGGTGTCTGAGTGTGACTTAGCAGCCTCCGTCCACTTCTGATCCAGCCTGTCTGCGGCCTTGTGGAGCTGCTCACAGTCATATTTATCTCGTACTGAAGGTACAGTTAGCTCATCATAAACCATCTTCACAGCTTCCATACGCAACAACTCTGCAGCCTCAAAAAAAAAAATAAGTCAAAGATAGAAGAGCCCAGATTCAAAATGAAGAAATGGAAACTCGAAAAGGATCCTTCTGATTCTCAAAGAATGAGGGGCAAGGGGATTGATACCGAGAAAGTCCACGGACACGGACTTGTTCAACTCCTTGCAAGCTCCTTTGAGGCTCTTGGAATTCGGATGCCGCCCGTACTTGGCTTCCACGCTGACATGGGTGCTACTGCCACGGTTTGGCTTTGATGACCAACGATGCTTGGGGAACTGCAGTTCCACAACAAAGTTGGTTACCGTGCCTGCCGTGCGTCGGGCACTGGCCCAGATGATCCCAAACTTCTTGTCGTTGGAGATGAAGTAGCTGATGCGAGGGGCACAGATGGCTGATAGTACCACATCTTGGCCGCACTTTAGCCTCACCTCCAGTGGCTCCACGCCCGATGTGATTTTCTCCATGCTTTTCGCAAAGGCAGGACTGATCTCATCACCACCCTCGTCAAAGACTGCATAGGTGCTCTCCGAGTTGCTGGCAATGGTTCCCATTTTCCTCCCATTGTGGGCATCCCGGAAGCCGAATGCATGGACCGAGCGGAACCTCCAGCTAACCGCGGAGCTCAGGTCCTCGTTGCTGTTGGAGATGACGATGATGTGGGCGGCGTGCTCCTCCTTTTCCTCGGACTTCCTATTATATAGATCCTACACGTACATATATATATATAGGTAGCCTTATTAGTTAGTCCAATTCCAATCCAATGTGCGATTTCATTAGCTTGCTAGGATGTTTTTTTTTGGCCAAAAGGAAATGCATGACAAGTGTATGTATATTCGTTGGTAGTACTGTAGCAACATACCGACTCGGCCGACTCCAGATCTGTAAGCAATTGCCCGTTTCTTCTCATTGCCTGCGAACCCTCTACTGCAGCAAAAGCCCTCTTCTTAGTCACGGAGGACATCTCATAGAATTTTGGTTTCTCATAGAATTTTTCCATCAATGAAGCGGGGACGATCGCCAGACGGTCTTGCTCTCCAAGCTTGTCAAGGACAACTTTTGGTTTCACAGCTGTTTCTTCCATCAATGAAGCGGGGACGATCGCGAGACGGTCTTGCTCTCCAAGCTTGTCAAGGACAACAGCTGTTTCTTCAATCAATGAAGCGGGGACGATCGCGAGACGGTCTTGCTTTCCAAGCTTGTCAAGGACAACTTTAGGTTTCACAGCTGTTTCTTCCATCAATGAAGCGGGGACGATCGCGAGACGGTCTTGCTCTCCAAGCTTGTCAAGGACAACTTTTGGTTTCACAGCTGTTTCTTCCATCAGTGAAGCAGGGACGATCGCGAGACGGTCTTTCTCTCCAAGATTGTCAAGGACAACTTGTGTCGCCTTAACGAGGAGATCGTGCCAGTTGCGTGGCGCTATGAGTCGGATCTGGACGTGGAGGACGAGGACAACGTCCACGGGCGCACGCTGTTTGGGCACCCCAGACGGAGTGGTGATGCTCACCATCACCTTTGCGCGTTCTCGGTGGTCGGTGCTCTTCCCCGACGACGTTGAACCCTGCAACAAATTCAAACACACAGCATATATGCAAGTTGTTTCAGATCCGTGGAGAAATTTTATTGAAGCACCCACGCATCAATCTACAAACATTACACAGCTACTACTTACCTCGTGGATGTCCATCCGGGTCCTTCCTATAATCATCTGACGGGAGCACGATGGATCATATGCAATCCAACTCGATCATATCTCACTGTGTGTGTCCAGGCAGCGCAGAGCACGGCTGCTTCTGCTTACATTCTACTTAGTGTGTCTTTTCTTTCTGGCGATAGGATATGCTTTTCTTGTGTTTCTTGTGCTCCATCGTATCTTGATGCCTTGCTTCACCGGCCTTGCATCTTTTCTATTCTCATCCCAATGAAAAGAGTGATTCGTTTCCGTCAACTTACGCATGGGCATTACCTTCCGGACTTCACTTTCAGACTAGTCTAATAGATGGCTAATTGGACGGCATGTCGGCATGCACGTCTAGTCCTAGGCCCGATGCGGCATGGCCCACGAGTAGCTAGTCCGGATGCTGTACACTAGTATAGAAAAGCTTTTCCAGAGGCCGTTTCATGGGCAGTTTGAAAAACCGCTACAATGCCACTTATTGTAAAGATAGAGTATTTATAGCGTCGGGCATTTAACTGTCTCTGGAAAAGCACCACCCTATTTTCAGTGGCAGTGGCAGTTGCAGCAGGAGAAGCACACCTCAAAATCTATTTTTAGGGACGGTTGCCGGTTTCGGTAAGCACACCGCCTCTGTAAACATATTGTCAGTGGTGGTTGCTACACTGCACCCATCTTTTGAACTGTTTTTTCGAGGACGGCTGTGGCAATGCAACCGTCCCTAAAAATGTATTTACGAAAATCAGTTTCAAACTTTTGGATTTGAAATTTCCCACCACATTTGAAATCATGTTTTCCGACCAATTTGATTCAAATTGACTTCATATATACATAGTAGTGAACTAGTTAACCAATACACACACGATCAATAAAGTATTTGTAGCATAATTTAATTTACATTACAAACTACTAATTAACATTAGTTGTGCTTCTGCCCAAAAAATGAAAGGAAGAGATGTTCGCATGCAATGCGGAGATCCTCAAACTTGGGATGTGTGGCATACTCCGACTCACGATCAAAGAATAAGACCCCCTCGCAAAGAACCTCCCACGTCATGAACCTCCAGAAATCATCTTGAACTTCTTTAGGCCTTATTTGGATACATGTGTATCCACCTCAATCCACATGTGTTGGAGTGAAATGGAATGGAATTTAGTTTAATTCCATTTCAACACATGTGGATTGAGACGAATACATGCGCATCCAAATAAGGCCTTAATATCCTTTTGGTCAATTTTTCTAAAGGCCTAAAATACTGATGCCGCACAAAACAAAAGGGGCAATATTAGATAGATTCACATTCATGAACATATGCATGTGATATGGTTCGACAGACCGACTTACGTCCGCAGGGTTACTGTAGCAATACCCATTGGTTTTCATCCATTGACATACAAAGTAGCCACAAAACACGGTTCCGAGAGGCTGCTTCGGGCACTGCAGGTTGGTGACAGGCAAAAAAGACAATATAGTGAAACACATTATTCTATATAATCAATATTCTATCTATTTGGGTTAGAAAATGATCGTACCCAGCGATGTAGAGAAATAGTCAGCCTATCCAGCTTCTCTGGGTCATGCACTCCTCCTTCTTTAACGTAATATCTGTACGCACTGTTGAATGCAGAAAACAATTAGTTTTGCTATAATTAGTATCACAAGTAATAAACTATGATTACTTATGTATATAAAACATTGATGAAATTTTGGAACGCTTTTTGTTCTCACTACTAGGAATATTCACTTCTATGAGGAACAGTTTTTGTCACTGAAGGAGCCAAATTCGTCATAATTTCAGTTTCATGACGAATTTATGACGAAAACCGCTCCGTTCTGGAAGTCGCGTCACACTTGAACATCCATGATGAATCCAAAAATGTCGTCATAGAGTTGTCTTGATCTATGACGAAAAACAGACCATCATAGAACTGTTTTGGCATGCATGGCAGGGGCTGCCACGCTGGTGGGTGTTTCTGTTGGAGATGCTTTCCACGTGTACATGCTATAGCCCACGTGTACATGCTATAGCCGATTGAATTGGAGATGGTTCAGGTTCGTGTCACCTTTTTAATGCATAACGTGGCCATCTCTAATTATTGGACATTTCAGATTCTTACTGGACCACGTGTCGGGTCCCTGTTGTTCCACATGATAGTTTTCTATTGGCACATGTGTTGTGTTGTGGTTGGATCATGTGTCACTTCTTTATTGGACCATGTGTCGTATTTTTATTGGTCTACGTGACCATTTCTTATTTGACCACGAGTCACGGCACTGTCCGTCCACGTTTCCTATTTTTATTCGACCATGTGGCTTCACCACTTCCTTCCACGTGTCGGATTTTAATGGCCCATGTGCCGTATCCTGGCTATTTCACGTGTCATGCACTAGTTCGTCCACGTGTCGTATTTTTATTTGATCATGTGGCCTGTCCTGGTTCTACCGCGTGGAGTACAATCAATTCGTCATAAAAGTAATTCGAGATTGTCACTACTGCATAGATTGACTACATAACTATTTAGCCTGGCAATCAAATAACAACAATTAACATTTCACACATCAGCAGCGAACCACTGACAGAGTATCACCACATCAAACCGGCATGTAGTCCACAGATCAAACTGGCATACGAGTCCGCACATCAAACCGGCACATGTGTCCACACATGAAACCATAAATGTTCACTACATCAAGCTGCAGGAGTTGAAGACTGAGAGTTACTAGAAAAGCAGAAGCGCGTGCATAGCTCACAGAGATTGTTGTACTCCTCCTATTGCTGTTTCTTGTATTCCTCAAACTCCCTTTTAGTCTTTTCTGTCTTTCTCTTCAATTCATCCACTTGATCGACGAGGGCAGCGAAACTTTCCTGTTCAGCAGCAAGTTGTCCCCGAAGCATTCTCTCCGCCGATGTCTCTGTTCTAGTGGAGCTTATCTAGATACTAGCATTTTTTAAAAAAGGTTGTTGCCGCTTCCCTAGGAGGGGGCCTTGCTCTGGGTAGACGCAGAGGACCTTGCAAACAATATCAGCACTAGTCATTAATTGCTGCCCATCAGCAACAGGTTCTACTTGCATAATTTCCATAGCTTCTTGTGAAATTCAATCAGTAAAACATTAGGTTATAGACAGTGTAAGAGGACTTCAATTGAAAACCCAAGAGATTGATGCATAACAAGTAATGCATAGGTCTTCCTCAGCCTAATGCCGATAGAGATTACATAAGCTTCAGTTGATTTTAGTAGTTTTTCCATAACACTAGGCTCCTGCTATGTTTCCTTCTTTTATGGCAATGGCTTTATTAGATTTCAAGAGAAGCAAAAGAAGGTGCTTACAACTGCTGCTCTCGCAGCATAGCTCAGGCCCTTTTTGCTACTAGTATGGAAGTCCCTGAAGACTTCCACATCATTAACATCTTCATTAGGTGGACCATTTTATTCTTCAAGTCCTTGATCGTGTTCTGCTGCCTTCCTCTTGTTCTCTTTCTATTCACATTGCACATGAGTTTCGGTTTATATTTATACAAAGGCAAGAGTAACAATAAAACACAACCATCACTTATAAATTTTTGCAGTTGGACAACATAGGAGCGGGATCCTGTAGCATGGTGGTAATTCACTTTTGCACGGTTTCAGTTGTTCTTCTCAGATGTTTCCTATAGCTTCATTTGTGTTAGACTGCAGCACAAGTAGACCATAGCAAGACTAAACAGGAAATCGATGGGCTCACACACCTTGTTCTTAGCACTAGACCAAATCTTGATAAGCTCACACCACTGTGCATCGTTCAAGGATGAGACAGGAGAGGTCATACGGATCTGATCTACTGGGACGCCAATGAAGTATTTTTTTTCTTCAACCTGTAGCGTGCCTGCCGTACCGCAGACTGCATTACATTCCAGTAAGCTTCTTTTGTTGTTGAGTGAGCACCATTAACGCGCAACCTATGCTGCACACAGTAGTGTGAATAAAAAGTAAATCCACTAAAGTTGCTCAAAGCAGAGTTGAATATCAAGAGGGGATAGTCATACATACATTTAGCCTATTGTTGGTATTTATTAACTTTTCTCTTGTTTTAGTAGCCACCTAATATATGTCTACATCTCTAAACATTACTTTACCGGGTTATCATCCCTAGTGATGATGCTAGAGATGCTTGTTGGTACTACCTAGTATTACTACTAGAGTAGTTCTTTATTATTTTATATGACTAAAAAGAATGTCTATTTTTTCTCATCTCTTTTTTTTCCTTTTTTCTTTATGAATAACTTTTGTATAGCCCCATGCTTCTTTTCTACAGCAAAACTTTTGAGAGATAGCAACAAGAACTTAGAGCATTTATTTGGTGGATATCCTATCAAGAATATTTTTGTGTTCACTCCTAGTGTAGAAGTAAAACATTTTGGGTGGATCTAGACATAATGGCATGGTTTTGCACCTACCCCTGGTGTAGAAGTAGTGTATATGTGGGTGGTGTGTACGTGATCTTGATTTTAAAAGCATGACAAGCCTCTCATAAGGGTCAACAAAGCTTGACTAAACTCAATGCAAAACATGCAGCATATATGAGGAAGTTTTCCTAATCTAAATATCATATATGGCTCTAGTAGGAATTCAAGCTTTGTCATACAGGAACTCATTATGAAGTATTTTTATGTTTTTCGAAAGAAATTTCTAGAACTTTAGTATCACTTGGAACAAGATAAACAACAGCTCAGATGTTCCCATATCATATCCGTCAATTAGCTAAACTTAGATTAAGCATATGCTACCCACGATTTTTAAGTTTAGGGTAAATTCTTATGTCATACTAGTCTTATCTAAAACTCAGGAGAATTCAAGGTTGAAGACTAGGTACTTGAAAGGAATTATGACAGAGCAACTATTCATTATTTCCATCATAAGAGATTATCCTGTGAGTCCATTTATTTATTTGGCTCTTAAAAACAAAAACTAGACAGACTCTTTATTTTGTTTTTCATTTTTAGATCACACCTTGCTAACATATATATTTCTA